TGTCCAACAATCAGAACTTTGCATTTGTCAATATTAAACTGCATCTGCCACTTCTCCGACCATTGCATCAGTCTATTCAAATCATCCTGGAGTGCTCTAGTGTCCTCTTTAGAATGAATTGAACGGCCTATTTTGGTGTCATCAGCAACTTTGATTATGTCGCTATTTATTCCATTATCTATGTCGTTTATGTAAATTGTGAACAACAACGGACCCATCACTGACCCCTGAGGAACACTGCTTGTAACGTGCCCCCATTCTGTTTTCTCCCCATTTAGGCAATCTCTCTGTTGCCTATTTGTCAGCCATGCCTATACCTAGGAAAAAATTTCTCCTCCTATTCCGTGTGCCTTAAGTTTCCTCAATAGCCTCTGGTGTGGAACTTTATCGAAAGCCTTACTGAAGTCCATATACACAATATCATATTATTTACTATGATCTACCTCCTCAAACACCTTAGTGAAAAAAGTTAGTAAATTCGTAAGACAGGAACGCCCCTTTGTAAAACCATGTTGAGAATCATTAATCAATCTGTGCCTATTAAGACGTCTACGAATTGCTTCGGCAAGTATTGATTCCATAAATTTTCCCACTATGGAGGTAAGGCTTATTGGTCTATAGTTCGAAGCCAATGACCTGTCACCTGCCTTGTAAATAGGTATTACATTTGCCATTTTCCATTTGCCAGTTTGTAGAGATATGTTAAAAAGATTAGTCAAAGGTATGCTAAGTTCCTCTTTATATTCCTTTAACACCCTTGCAAACAGTTCAGCAGAGCCTGGGGATTTGTTAGGTTTTAGTTTCTCTATTTGTCTGAGGACCATGTCACTAGTTACCGCAATCGTGCATAGTTTATCATCATCCTGTTCTACAAAATTTATTATTTCAGGAATATCGCTAGTATATTCCTGGGTGAAAACTGTGAGGAAGTAGGTAATGAGAATTTCACAAATATGTTTATCACTGTCAGTGATCTGACCAGAGTTACTCTTAAGTGGGCCAGTCTTGTCCCTAATCTTACTTCTGTATACCTGAAAGAACCCTTTTGGGTTAGTCTTTGAATCCCTTGCGACCTTAGCCTCATAATCCCTTTTTGCTTTTCTTATTCCTTTCTTTATTTATCTCTTTAACTGAATATATTGATTTCTTATCTGCTCATCCCCTCTTTAGATACGCCTATATATGCCTCTATTTTGACCCATGAGATGTTTTAATCTATTGTTCACCCATTTGGGATCATTTTTGTTAGATCTAATTTCCCTACTCGGAACAAAAGTTGTCTGGGCAGCTGCAACTATGCTCTATCCTTCCAAACTGCCAATATCCCTAACCCCTCCTTTAAAGTGCAGGCATTGTACTTCCCATTTCCAGGACTCAAGTCTGGCTATGTAAAAATAACCGGTTTCCCTGAATCTCTTCACTAAATAATACCCTGCTCACACTCCAACAGCTCGTCAGATCCCAAATACCATTCGTCTCCATTCACTCCTATCTAACACGCTCATGCATGCTTGCTGGAAGTCCAAGCCCCTAGCCCACAAAACCACCTTTGCCCCTTCCCTCCAACCTTTTCGAGGAAGACCCCTACCCCGCCTTCCTTCCCCTGCAGATTTATACGCTCTCCATGGCATTATACTTTGATCCATTCTCTCTAAATGACCAAACCACCTGTTGGTACTACTATACTTTCATACATTCCCTTCTTTGCCTCCATAGATTACGTTTTTTGTCTCCACATATACCTCAGCGCACCACTCGCCTTTTTTCCTTCATCAATTCTATGGTTGGCCTCATCCTTCATAAAACCATTCGCTGACACATCACCTCCCAAATATCTGAAAACATTCACTTCTTCCATACTCTTCCTCCCCAATTTGATATCCAATTTTTCTTTATCTAAATCATTTGATACCCTCATCAACTTACTCTTTTCTAAGTTTGCTTTCAATTTTCTACCTTTCCACACACTCCCAAACTCGTCCACTAACCTTAGCAATTTTTCTTTAGACTCTCCCATAAGCACAGTATCATCAGCAAAAAGTAACTGTGTCAATTCCTATTTTGTATTTGATTCCCCATAATTTAATCCCACCCCTCTCCCGAACACCCTTGCATTTACTTCTTTTACAACCCCATCTATAAATATATTAAACAACAATTGTGACATTACACATCCCTGTCTAAAACCTACTTTTACCGGGAAGTAGTCTCCCTCTCTTGTACACACCCAAACCTGAGCCTCACTATCCTCATAAAAACTCTTTACAGCATTTAGTAACTTACCACCTGTTCCATATACCTGCAACATCTGCCTCATTGCTCCCCTATCCACTCTATCATATGCCTTTTCTAAATCCTTAAATGCAATAAAAACATTCCTACTTTTATCTAAATACTGTTCACATATATGCTTCAATGTAAACACTTGATCTACACATCCTCTACCCACTCTAAAACCTCCTTGCTCATCTGTAATCCTACATTCTGTCTTACCTCTAATTCTTTCAATAATAACCCTACCGTACGCTTTTCCTAGTAAACTCAGTATACTCAATAAACTCAGTAAACAATCTCTTTTGTCCCCTTTCCCTTTATATAAAGGGACTATACATGCTCTCTGCCAATCCCTAGGTACCTTCCCCTCTTTCATACATTCATTAAACAAAAATACCAACCACTCCAACACTATATCCCCCCTGCTTTTAACATTTCTGTTATGATCCCGTCAGTTCCAGCTGCTTTACCCCCTTTCATTCTAAGTAATGCCTCACACACCTCCCCCACACTCACATCCTGCTCTTCTTCACTCCTAGAAGATGGTATACCTCCCTGGCCAGTGCATGAAATTACCGCCTCCCTTTCTTCATAGACATTTAAAAGCTCCTCAAAATATTTTTGCCATCTACCCAATACCTCCATTTCCCCATCTACTAACTCACCTACTCTGCTTTTAACTGACAAATCCATTTTTCCCTAGGCTTGCTAAACTTGTTTAACTTGCTTAACTTGTTTAACTTACTGCAATTTTTTTCTTATTTTCATTAAAATTCCTTGAGAATGCCTCTCCCACTCTATCATCTGCTCTCCTTTTGCACTCTTTCACCGCTTTCTTCACCATTCGTTTACTCTCCATATACTCTACTCTTCTTATAACACTTCTGCTTTGTAAAAACCTCTCATAAGCTAACTTTTTCTCTTTTATCACACCCTTTACTTCATCATTCCACCAACCACTCCTCTTTCCTCCTGCACCCACCCCTCTATAACCACAAACTTGTGCCCCACAATCTAATACTGCATTTTTAAAACTATTCCAACCCTCTTCAACCCCCCCACTACTCATACTTGCACCAGCCCACCTTTCTGCCAATAGTTGCTTATATCTCACCCGAACTTCCTCCTCTCTTAGTTTATACACTTTCACCTCCCTCTTACTTGTTGCCATTTTCCTCTTGTCCCATCTACCTCTTACTCTAACTGTAGCTACAACTAAATAATGATCCGATATATCAGTTACCCCTCTATAAACATGTACATCCTGGAGCCTACCCATCAACCTTTTATCCACCAATACATAATCTAACAAACTACTTTCATTACGTGCTATATCATACCATGTATTTTTATTTATCCTCTTTTTCATTAAATATGTATTACTTATTACCAAACCTCTTTCTACACATAGCTCAATTAAAGGTTCCCCATTTTCATTTACACCTGGTACCCCAAATTTACCTACTACTCCCTCCACAACACTTTTACCCACTTTAGCATTGAAATCCCCAACCACAAGTACTCTCACACTTGGTTCAAAACACCCCACACACTCACTCAACATTTCCCAAAATCTCTCTGTGTCCTCTACACTTCTCTCTTCTCCAGGTGCATCTACGCCTAATATAACCCATTTTTCACATCCAACTTTTATTTTACTCAACATAATCCTTGAATTAATACATTTATAGTCCCTCTCTTCCTGCCATAACTTATCCTTCAACATTATTGCTACTCCTTCTTTAGCTCTAACTCTATTTGAAACCCCTGACCTAATCCCATTTATTCCTCTCCTCTGAAACTCTCCCATCCCCTTCCGCTTCGTTTCACTTAAAGCCAGGACATCCAGCTTCTTCTCATTCATAATATCCACAATTATCCACACACATTCAGACATCTCACCTTGACAATTTTCTTATTCTTTTTAGTAATTATTACAGGAAAAGGGGTTACTAGCCCATTGTTCCCGGCATTTTAGTTGACTTTTACAACACGCATGGCTTACGGAGGAAAGATTCTTATTCCTCTTCCCTATTGATATAAAAGGAAAAGTAATAAGACCAAGAACTTTTAAGATAAAATCTTAGAGAACTCAGATGAGTGTGGATAAATAAACGTGTACATGTATGTGTAGTGTGATCTAAGTGTAAGTAGAATTAGCAAGACGTACCTGTAATCTTGCATATTTATGAGATAGATAAAAGACACCAGCAATCCTACCATCGTGTAAAACAATTACAGACTTTCGTTTTACACTCACTTGGCAGGACGTTAGTACCTCCCTGGGTGGTTGTAACCACGGACGAGTGGTATTGATTGATAACAACGCTGCGCTTGGTCTCGCTTGGTGCGCGTGGTTCTCGCTTACCATGAGGCAGGCCAGTACAACATGGGTTCGAATCCTTGGCTAGCGCAGTGTTGAATATAATATATATATATATATATATATATATATATATTATATATATATATATATATATATATATATATATATATATATATATATATAGGATGAATTTATCCTATTATGGCATAAGTTCATCCTTAATGATTCTTACACCATTTATTTAGCATAGCAGAAAGTCAAATTCCCGCATTCTTACCAGGCCACAGACTATTTCCTAGCAGAAGACCACAGCGCTGCTTCCTAGCTGAAGACATTTCCACAACTTATCTACGAGAAAAAATTAGTCCACAATTCCTTACAGAAAATGATAGCCACCTACCTATCACTGTGAGGTAGATTCTTGAGTTGCGGGTAGGGGATTTCTTAAAATCTACCCTGCAGCGGTAGAGACCATCATCAGAGCTCCAGACTGTTTCCAGGTAGAGACCAGAATGGCCTGGGGTTAGGTCAAACCTGGCTCTGTTTTTGAGCACGGAGAGTGGTTGGTGTTTGGGCTGGGTGATCCGCCGGTTCCTGAGGTCAACTCTGTGAAAAGACGAGAGGAAATGTCAGAAGGAAAATCATGGGGTTTGTGATAGAAAAATTAGCAACTAACCTACAATGCCGTGGCTGTAGCCATCCACCAATTTCAAACGATTATTAATTTTTAACGCACTCAAACCAAACCCATACTACAACTGCTGAACAAATCACAGCTTACCCCCCAATCCCATGACTTGAATAATTCCCAACAAGAACAAAAAATATTTCAGGAAGAATTCTCTGGTAACCCAAAATATTGTGGCAGAAACAATTATCACGTTCGCTACGATATTATACCTGGAACAATTTACAACAGATACGAACGCAGGTGGAGCAGTTCACCACCAACCCACAATCTTATTCTGTAATATTTCACAGCTTACCAAAAGTAACGCTGCTGCAACAATTCACAACAAACTCACACAATGGAATAAGATACCAACAAATAGTGAAGAAATCCACAAAAATGCAACATTTTTTTTATTCACTAACTCACATCCATGTGCCAGAGTAATGCGCAGCTAATACACTACAATAACAAATTTTGAAAAATATCCCCATTACGTAGCAACAGAGCTGCTGGAATTATTCTCAACTAAACCAGTAAACAATGACAGGATCACTGAACATTAGCCTATAATGTGAAACCAGGAATAATGAACATCTACCGCATAAAATAGAGGTGGGAATTCACCACTAGCCCGCTCAGCCTTGGCTAGTATAATTCACAAATGACCTAGACGTCGAAGCTGAAACTTGATGAGGTTCTTTCTAACCCTGGATCATTATTCGCTTGTAATTCAATAATGGGCTGAAAGGACTGAAATTAGATTTACTTTCATTATCATTGCGCGAGAAAAGACCAACAGACGTTTAGCTCTCGTCGAGAGAGAACTTAGCAAGATCTTCCAATTACTGACTGGTTAAAATTTGCTTAAAAGAATGGTTCATCAAATATTTTTTGCAGAATTATTATTGTAATGAGTCTCTATTATGCGTGTTTAACAAATAAACTGTTGTATGGGAGCTGATGTTCCCACACCTGCCTTTTAGGAGGCAGGTGTAGGGGATTCACGCCGCCACACCCACTTTATCAGCAGGCTGCTGAGGAAGGAAAAAATTCACACCTCTGCACTCGCCTTGTCAGAATTGTGGAGTGTGGGCGATACTTGTAGAGCACTCGTGCCCTGGTACCTGCCTAGGCACGAAGCGAGTGTGAAACACTCAGGGGTGAGATTCATGCCGCTGCTCTTAGATTATCACGAGGTAGGTATGGGAGTCTACCGATCACACACCTGAATTTCAGGGGACAGGAATGGGAATTCACGCCACAACACCCACTTTATTCGGGGGACTCACCACAGAATTTGCCTTGTCAAGAGACAGGTGCGTGAGACTTACATCCCGCACATTTCTTGTCACTAGCCGGGTTTGGAAGGATAATGCCTACCTCCAGTCTACCTGGAGGGTATTCCGGGAATCAACGCCCCCGCCGCCCGGTGGATCAAGGCCTGATCAACGAGGCTGTTACTGCTGGCCGCACGCAATCCAGCGTATGAACCACAGCCAGGCTGATCCGGCACCGTTTTTAGGTATCTGTCCAGCTCCCTCTTAAAGACAACCAAGGGTCTACCGGTAATGACCCTTATTGCTGGTGGGAGGCTGTTGAACAGTCTTGGGCCCCGGACACTTACTGCGTTTTCTCTTAGTGTACCAGTGACGCCCCTACTTTTCACTGGGGGTATGTTGCAACGCTTGCCAAGTCTTTTGCTTTCGTATGGAGTGATTGCTGTGTCCATATTAGGGACCAGTCCCTCCAGAATCTTCCAGGTGTAGATTATGATATATCTCTCTCGCCTTCGCTCCAATGAGTACAAGTCAAGTGCTTCCAGGCCCTCCCAGTAGTTAAGGTGTTTGATGGAACTTATTTGTGCAGTAAAGGTTCTCTGTACATTCTATAGTTCTGCAATTTCACCTGCCTCGAATGGGGATGTTAATGTACAGCAGTATTCCAGCCTAGAGATAGTAAGTGGCCTTAAAAGGATCATCACAGGCATAGCCTGGTGGCCTGGTGGCTAAAGCTCCCGCTTCACACACGGAGGGCACGGGTTCGATTCCCGGCGGGTGGAAACATTTCGACACGTTTCCTTACACCTGTTGTCCTGTTCACCTAGCAGCAAATAGGTACCTGGGTGTTAGTCGACTGGTGTGGGTCGCATCCTGGGGGACAAGATTAAGGACCCCAATGGAAATAAGTTAGACAGTCCTCGATGACGCACTGACTTTCTTGGGTTATCCTGGGTGGCTAACCCTCCGGGGTTAAAAATCCGAACGAAATCTTATCTTATCTTATCTAGCATCTCTTGTCTTGAATGTTCACATTATCCATCCTATCAGTTTCCTCGCAGATGTAATAGTGGCATTGTTGTGATCCTTGAAGGTCAGGTCTTCGGACATTACCACACCCAGGTCCTTCACATTATTTTTCCGCTCTATTGTGTGATTAGAGTTTGTAGTATACTCAGTTGTAGGACAAGAAATATATACAGTGAAGGTGGTAAGGGTGAAAGCCAAAAATCCAATAATTTATCCGTAATTATACGTTCCTGTGTCTTCAGTAGTCATTTACTTATCAAATCTGAATTTATACAATTGTTTTTATTTTATGGTGATTGAAAACAAAGTGCTGGCTCGTAAATCTAGTGATCTATGGTCATAGACCGACACTACAATTCATCTGATGTAATCATTTCACTTCTAAATCGACAAGATGGAACCATCACTATTAGGAATCAAGAAAATGATGGCCTACTGGGCCAGGTCTACTACCAGCTTAAGCCAATGACCCAACCTAGCCAGGTCAGGTCATATCAACTTAAGGAAGGAGCATGGCATTAGACCTAGTAACACAAGTTAGTCAGGTCCAACTCACACCCACCCACACGCACTCATGTATTTATCGAACCTATTTTTAAAGCTACACAACGTTTTAGCTTCTACAACGGTACTCAGGAGTTCGTTCCACTCATCCACAACTCTATTACCAAACCAGTGTTTTTCTACATGTTCCTGAATCTGATTTTTTCATCTTAAAACCATTGCTGCGAGTCCTGTCTTGGCTAGATATTTTTAGTACGCTATTTACATTCCCTTTATTAATTCCTATTTTCCATTTAAATACTTCAATCATATCCCCCTAATTCTACGCCTTTCTAGAGAGTGCAGATTCAGGGCCTCTCAGTTTATCCTCAGGTAAATTTCTGATACATGGGATCAACTTTGCTATCCTTCTTTGTACGGTTTCCAGTGCATTTATATCCATTCTGTAATACGGTGACCAGCACTATGCGGCATAATCTAAATGAGGCCTAACCAAAGATATATAGAGTTGAAGAAGAACCTGAAGACCCCTATTATTTATGCTCCTTGAAATGAAGCCAAGGATTCTGTAAGCTTTATTGCGAACACTTACGCACTGTTGACTTGGTTTTAGATTACTGCTAACTAAAACTCCCAAATTCCTTTTGCAATCAGTAATATTAAGATCTACATTATTTAGTTTATATGTGGCATGGTTTTTTCTTGTCCAGTGTTTAGAACTTTGCGTTTGTCTCTATTACACTGCATCTGCCACTTCTCCGACCACTGCATCAGTCTATTCCAATCATCCTGGAGTGCTCTAATGTCCTCATTAGAATGAATTAGGCGACCCATTTTTGTGTCATCAACAAACTAGCTTATGTCGCTATTTATTCCCTCATCAAAGCCGTTTATATAAACTGTGAACAACAAAGGGTCCAACACTGAACCATGTGCAACACCACTCGTGACGCGCCGCCCCCACTCGGGTTTCTCCCCATTGATATAAACTCTCTGCTGCCTATCTGTCAACCATGCCTCTACCCAGGATAAAATTTCTCCTATTCCGTGTCCCTTAATTTTCCTCAATAGCCTTTGATATGGAACTCTATCAAAAGCCTTAATGAAGTCCATTTACACAATATCGTATTTATTACCATGATCTACATCCTTAAATACCGTAGTGAAGAAAGTTAGTAAACTGGTAAGACAGGAACGCCTCTGTAAAACCGTGCTGAGATTCATTAATCAATTTATGCCTTTCAAGATGGCTACGAATTGCCTCGGCAAATATTGATTCCATAAATTTTCCCACTATGTAGGTAAGGCTTATTGGTCTTATTGGCACTGATTCATAAAACTACATTATGTAGATTTAACCTATGATAAAGTAGTTAAGTTAAATACTGTGACTTATTGTTAGTCGGAAAACACATTCTCCAATATTATGAAGAAAATTATTTGATTAATGAAACTGCACCAATAAAATTACACAACCTAAAATCAAGAGAAATCTTTCTTTGAGGAAAACACATCAACAGTAAAAGTTTCAAGCTGACCAGGAGATGCATTCTCCAGCTATGGCTCAGAATCTAACAACATCTGCAGACACACAGCCTATCCTCGAAAAGTGTTTCACCTATGTCATACCACGTATCCGCCATTAAAGAAAGATGCCCTTCACAAATTTTTAATTAAAATAAGAGGAAAGGTGCTAATTCGGTAAAGGCCAAGTAGGACCTGTGGAATGGACGGTATTCAGATTCGATGTAACAGTGAGTAAGTCCAGTTCCTCAGATGAAGAGTCCTCTCTAGCATCAGGAAGCATAACCTAGTTAAATACTGTAAAATATTTGAATATCTTATCGAAATTAAAAGTGTGATAGTGGCGCCTTCACACTAATTTAATAAACCAAATTTTGTTAAGTAGGATACACGATTTTTGAAATTTGGAAGACGATCTTCTGATCGCCAAATTTCCTTTTTCCTTATCTACTTTAAGCATTTCTAATGCACTTAAAATTATCTTTAATCGTATTTATTATCAAATTGACAAATTGACACAAAATCTAAATTCAATAAATTAGCATTTGCAATTAAGATCCATCAACAATTAAATGTTTGCAGACAACCAGAAGAGTTAT